AATGTATTCTTCAGAAACAAAATTAAGACATTCCCAGATAAATAAAAATTAATAGAATTCATACAAGAGCTTTTCTTCTGGTTTAAACATACTCTTGAGAATGTGGTTCTTCAGACTCTTCACCTAAAATGTGGAGTCATTTCTCCAGGTCCCCATCTTTGGTGGGGTTTGGATTGTGAAGCCAGAAAGCATACCCTGTAAGAAATACTAAAGGAAGTTCTTTAAGCTAAAATAAAAGGGCACTAGACAATATATGGAATCCACATAAGAAATAAAAGGTAACAGTAAAGGTAGCAACACAGGTATATATAAAAGTTAGCATATATTTTGTAATTCTTTTTGTTATATAAACCAAAATATAGAAAATAAATAAGGGAGTTAAAATGGTGCATTTGAAATATATATTTAACACAAAAAAGGCACTAATTGAGGAACAGAGGAACAAAAAGCAAAAAACAAAACACAAAATAGCAAAATGGCAGGTATAAATCCTACCTGAACAGTAATTATATTAAAAATAAATGGATTAAATCACTCCAATTACAAAGCAGAGACAGGCAAAATGAGTTTTTTAAAAACCAACTATATGCTCTTTATAAAATATACACTTCAGTTCCAAAGGCATAAATGGGGTTGAAAGCAAAAGGACAGGAATATATACCATATAAATTAAACAGTAATTCAAAAAGAGCTAGAGTGACTGTACTAATAGACAAAATAGTAAAAAAAACTGGTGTAATAAAGGACATTATATATTGAAAAAAGTGTTTATCCATCAAGAATATGTATCATTTATATATATATATGCACCTAACAACAGAGGACAAAAATATATGAAGCAAAAAACGACAGCATTGAAGGAACAAATACATAATTTAACAGTAATAGTTGGAGACTCCATATCTCATTTTCAATAACCAATAGAACAACTAGACAGAAGAATAATGAGGAAAAAGAAGACATGAGCACACTATAAACCAAGTAGACCTAACAGACACCTATGGAACAATCCTCCCAACAATAGCAAAATATACATTTTTCTCAAGTGCACATGGAACATTCTTCAAGGTATATCTTTATTACACCATAAAACAACTCTCAATAAATCTGAAAGGACTGATAACACTCAAAGTGTTCTCCAACCACAATGGAACAAAATTAGAAATCAATAAAAGAAAATTTGGGGAATACACATATGTGAATAAACATGACACTTCTAAACAGCCAATGGGTCAAAAAAGAAATTTCAAGGGAAATTAAAGAACAGTTTGAGATGAACAAAATGAAAATGTAACAAAACATCTCATATGCAGCTAAAGCAGTGCAGAGAGGAAAATTCATAGCTGCAAACACTTATGTTTTATTTTTTTACAAGCAATCCCCTGAACCAGAATAGGTTCAAAGACTTTGGTAGGCACTTACATTTAAAAAAAGAAATATTTCTCAAGTCAATAACTTAAGCTTATCTTTAGAAACTAGAAAAAGAAAAGCAAGTTAAACCCCAAGCAAACATAAAGAAGATAATAGTGAGGATTAAAACAGAAATAAGATAGAGAAAAATATATAAAATCTTCTACAATTTGGTTCTCTGGAAAGATCAACAAAACTGACAAATCTTTAGCTAGACTAACCAAGAACAAAATACAGGAGACACAAATTATTAAAATTAGAAATGAAAGAGAAGACTCTACTACTGACCTTACAGAAAGAAAGATAAGGGGTTACTCTGAAAATTGTAAGCTAACAAACTAGCCTAGATGAAATGGACATATTCCTAGAAAGAACCAACTACTGAAACTGACTCGAATAAAGATAGAAAATCTGCATAGACCTATAAGAATAAAAATAATAAACAAAACAAAGAAGCAAAACTTTCTACACACAAGAAAGCCCAGAACCAGATGGCTTCACTAGTAAATGCCACAAAATGTTTAAAGAAGAATTAACCCCAATCCCTCAAACTCTTCCCAACAATAGAAATAGAGTGAATACTTACCAAATCATTTTAAGAAGCCAATATTACCTAGATAGCAAATCAAAAACATTACAAGAAAATAAAACTACAGAACAGTATCCCTTATGAACAGAGATGCAAAAAAATCTTAACAAAATACTAGCAAGCCTAATGCGACAACATATAAAAACAACATGACCAAGTAAAATTTATCCAAACAATGAAAGCTTAGTTGTGCATTTGAAGTCAATCACTGTAATACACCATAGTAATGGAACAAAGGACAAAACCCACAAGATCATCTCAATCGACACAGCAAAAGCAGTTGGCAAAATTCAACATGATTTCATGACAAAAATTCCCAACAAACTGGAAATAGAAGGGAATTTTCTAATTCTGATGAAGAGCATTGAAAAAACCCACAGTTGACATCACATTTAATGGTGACAAACTAAAAGCTTTCCCCCTTAGATCGGAAACAAGACAGGAATGTCTGCAGTCACCAATTCTATTCAATATTGCACTGGAGATTCTACCAGAAATTATATATGAAAATGAAATAAAAGGCAGAAAAATTGGAAAGGAAGAAGTAAAACTATCTCTATTTGTAGATCATAATATTTTATACACTAGTCTTCACTGTCATGGATAGGTTTTTGGAGACTGCAACTTTAAGTGAAATGATAATGTATAACAAAATCAATTTATTCTTAGCAACATCATAACACAACAACATTGAATGAAATGATGTTATTCAAGGACCTGCTGTATATCGTTTCACTTGAAGTTTAAACCTAAGAACCTATTGATGATGTTAAGTCAGGACTTACTGTATACAGAAAATATACAACAAATTGTATTACTGAGATTGCAATACTCCTCAAATTGATCTACAGACTCGATGTAAGCCTTATCAAAATTCCAGGTATTCTTTTTTACAGAAATGGAAAATCTGGTCCTAAAATTCATATAGAAATGCAAGGACCCAGAATAGCTAAAACAATCTTCAAAAAAAAAAAAAGTTGGGAGATTCACATTTAGATGTCAAAACTTCCTACAACAATCAGAGTGAACTGGCAACCAACAGAATAACAGAATGAGAAAATATTTTTGCAATCTACCTGTCTGACAAAAGGACTAATAATCCAGAATCTACAAAGAACTTAAGCAAATGTACAAGAAAAAAACAACCCCATCAAAAAGCGGGCAAAAGGATATGAACAGACACTTCTCAGAAGACATTTATGCAGCCAATAAACATATGAAAAAATGCTCATCATCACTAGTCATTAGAGAAATAAAAATCAAAACCACACTGAGATACCATCTCACGTCAGTTAGAATGGTGATTATTAAAAAATCTGGAGACAACAGATGCTGGAGAGGATGTGGAGAAATAGGAACCCTTTTACACTGTTGCTGGAAGTGTAAATTAGTTCAACCACGGTAGAAGACAGTGTCGCAATTCTTTAAGAGGATCTTGAAATAGAAATACCATTTGACCCAGCAATCCCATTACTGGGTATATACCCAAAGGATTATAAATTGTCTCATGAAGACATATGCACATGTATGTTTACCACAGCACTGTTTACAATAGCAAAGATTTGGAACCAACCCAAATGCCCATCAATGATAGACTGGATAAAGAAAATGTGGCACATATACACCATGGAATACTATGCAGCCATAAAAAAGGATGAGTTCACATCCTCTGCAGGGACATGGATGAAGCTGGACACCATCATTCTCAGCAAACTGACACAAGAACAGAAAACCAAACACCGCATGTTCTCACTCATAAGTGGGTGTTGAAGAATAAGAACACATGGACACAGACCAGGAGGGGAACATCACAGACTGGGGCCTGTTGTGGGGTGGGGGGGCTTAGGGGAGGGATAGCAGGGGGTTGGGGGACTGGTGAGGGATAACATTAAGAGAAATACCTAATGTAGGTAATGGGGGAATGGATGCAGCAAACCACCATGGCATGTGTATACCTATGTAACAATCCTGTACAACCTGCACATGTACCCAGAACTTAAAGTATAATAAAAATTTTTTTAAATTTACATGTATATATGGTAATATAAATGCTACTTGGGCAAACCAGAAGCAAAGAAGCAGTCAAGGCTTGATGGCTCTACCCAATACCTATTGCTGTATTTCTTGTCTAAGTAAACCAATATCCCTTACTGCTCCAGATATATTCTCTAGATGACAGTGATACATAATCTTTACTCTCTTCAAAATTTGAAACACAAACAGCAATGTTTTAAAGATTGGTAGGATTTCATTTGTTTCTCTGGACATTCTATCTTTTTAGAACCCATAATATGGTACCTGGAAGATAAAGTGGCAAGTGCTGACAGGTACTTAGGCAGTCTTAGTTCTTGTTTGTTTGTGTGTTTTTTGTGAGAGAGAGTCTTGCTCTGTCACCTAGGCTGGAGTACAGTGGTGCAATCTTGGTTCACTGAAACCTCCTCCTGGGTTCAAGCGATTCTCCTGCCTCAGCCTCCCAGGTAGCTGGGATTAGAGGAACCTGCCACCACACCCAGCTAATTTTTGTATTTTAGTAGAGATGGGGGTTCACTATGTAGGTGAAGCTGATCTCGAACTCTTGACCACAAATGATGCCCGCCTCAGCCTCCCAAAGTGCTGGGATTACAGGCATGAGCCTCTGCACCTGGCTGTTAGTTGTTTATTTTTATTTAAAAACAGCCTAGTTAGCAATCATCTCTTTGCCTCTCACAGACCAATTAGCTAACTCTCAGGTGACTTCTTGGCTAAAATCCTTAGTTAACACTAGGGCCAAAGGCAGTGATGACTCACTGGTAAACATCAGATGCTCAACAAGAAAATGTTCCCCAGAAACAGCCTTCTGCTGCAGTGACTGATATACTGTGAGTGGCATCCAGCTTTGTAGCTCTCCTTTCTACCACAGCTTGGTATTTATCACCCATCTCTTCATTAAGATAAGCTGATAGAGTAGGCAGCAGTACAGATGGAAATATAGTGAAATATCAATAAGTAAAATGTAGAGTACCTTGTTTTTAGCTAATTCTTTTTCCAAATTGCTTCTTTCTTGTGCTTTTTCTTTTTCTGTTTTATTAACCTGCCCAAGGGGGATGGGAAAAAAAAGAAATGGGTCAATTTTACAGCAGCTGACAGGCTCCACTATAGCAGACATATCCTGTGTGTCAATACCTACACTGCAGAGACAGCACATCCTCTCAGAAAAGGGGCCAATCAGGGAGTCTCTGAAGCAGAGCAGACTTCACAAATAGCCCTGAAATTAGAAAGACATGTCTACATGTCAGACTCTGCTGGTTCCTTACTAAGTAGGAAGACAGGGCTGTTACCCCTTAACCTCCACTGTCCCACTCCTTCAGGGGAAATCAATTTTTAAAATCTGACCCCTTAACTAACATGAGGATGTGTGAATTACCAGTTAACATTTACTAATGCTGGATAAGGATATACTGTCCTATTTGGCACAGACTACTTCACATACTAAAAGGCATAGGTTAGCCACCTAAAGATTCTTCATTGGGCAACTCAGACAAACTGCATCTGGGTTTCTTTCTTTGTCTTTTGCATTTAAAATATAATTTTAAAACATCACCACACCACAAAGACAGGATAATGTAAATCTGCTTCTACCTACCTCCCTCTGAAATCTTTCTTTCTCCTCTAGCAGAAACTTCTTCTCTTGCACTGATGCTTCCAATTCACCTCGCAATCTTGCAATAGTTGATTCTAGCAGCTCTTTTTACACAGATGTTCTCTTTTCAGCCTCCTGTGCTTTCTGGATACACTGGTTATGCTCAAGGATTAAATGATCCCTCCAGGAAGAGAACAAGAACATACAAAAGCTAAATGAGAGTTCTAATTTAACAGAAAGGGCAATTAAATGTTCTTACAGAACCTATTTCCTTACTAAGAGTAGTTACCAAAATGGTCTAACGAAACTAGTTTCTTAAGGGCAGAGTCTTAATTTTATCTTTGTAACTGGCCCAAAAAATGCAGGATCAAATGTTTTCATTGAAAATAAGACAGGCAGACAGACAGACACACACACACACACACACACACACACACACACACACACATATAAAACACAAATGCAAGAACGAAAAATGTGTAAGAAGTTGCCCATAATTTACTTACAGATGTTCTTGGAGTTGGGTTTTCTCATTCTGAACGGTCTATAGTTCATTTGTGATACTGGCATGGGCTGCATCCAGCAGTAAGTTTTATTCTTGAAATGTCTGAGTCATCATTTTCTGCTCTACCTGAGTGTTAAAAGCAGTATTAGAAGTTGAGGTTCTAGAAAGTCTCTTGATAGCTGGGATTACAGGGTATCATTTGGAGTAACTGATCAAAGACACTGAACTAACTTAAAAAAAAAAACAAGTTTTATTTATATAAATAAAACCTCTTTTTAAAATAATTTATTTTAATGCCCAGTTTCTCTTTGTACTCTTCTGAGTTGACCATAGTTCTATCATTTTATAGCTCTACTAACCAATAGTCAAGATGCATTGTTTACCCAGCCTGCTGAAAAATTATAAAACTCCTAATACCAACAGATTTTTAAAGATCTGTTTTTAAATATTAGGAGTACTTTTGGCATTTTAAATTTCAATATGGTATTTTATTTTTAAAAGTAAAACAATATAAATGTATGTAAAATGAAAAGATGCCTTCCTATTCACACTTCCCCTCTAAATAATCCCGCATTCTAAGGATTACCATGTCGAACAGTTTGCTGTGAATTCTTTTGAGACTATCTTAAATTGCACTCAGATGCTGTTACAGCAGAAGCACTATAACTGTTTTACGTATTTGCTTTGGCTCACCATTTTGCAATTATCAAAACATAACATTTCTGTGTACCACATAACCCTTCACATAATCCATAAAGTTTTTGCAAATACAGTACATATTAACAATCAGTTTTATTAATACTTAAGACACTTCTATTTTAACAATATTTGATTGCAAAGCAAGCCTCCACACTTGGTAAAATGGGATCCCAATTGTGTAATATTACAAAATTTTAAAATATTTGTAATAAATAGTATTATATATTCAGTCCACTGAATTATAAGTCCATGAAAGTAGGAATTCTGTCTTGTTCACCACTATTGAAAGTAGGAATTCTGTCTCGTTCACCACTATAATCCTATCTAGATACAGCATTATACTTGCACAGAGTTAAACTAATTATTTATTCAGTATATGTTATGTGCAAAGTGTGCTTAGCACCATGAGAAATAATGTCCTTGCCTTAGGGAGCTCACAGTGTAACCCAAGAAAAGAACCAGCACATAAATTACTACTAGAGAATGCAGAATAGGGAAGTAGCATAACAATTAAACATACTGACTCTGAATTCAGTCTAGATTAAAACGCAACTCTACTTCTTACTAGTTAGGTGAATTTGGACAAGTGAACTTCTCTAACCCTCATTTTCTTATCTGTAAAATGAGGATAATAAATATCCTTTTACATAATGGCTGCTACAATTAAAGGAGGTAGTATATGTAAAATCCTAAGCACAATGTTTGGTGTATATAGTAAGCAATGCTTATAAAAAGAGAAAGTGATTATTACTATGGTAGTCTGTTTGGTGTCCCAGGAATAGAAGTTGAAAGGGAAAACTTATCCCTTCTTATTGGGATGAGAAAGCTCCCTGATGAAAGTAACTCTTAACGAATAAACAGAATTTCAGATATTAAAGACAAAGTAAAAAGCATTCTCAGCATAGAAAATGGCATAAGAAAAATGGGAAACTGCAAGGTGTTTGAGGAAAAGGTTAACTACTTTAGGGTTAGTCATACATGTTCTCCATGATTCTATAAATAATGGGACAAATATTTTTTTCCTCAAGTGATAATATTTGAGAAGAAACCATGAAAAGCCCTGAGTGTAAGGCCAAATCACCCCTATGATGATAAGTGAAAAGCATTAATAGAAATAAGATAATTCAGTCAATTTTTTGAAATTTATTGTTAAAATATTTTATTTTTCCAGTTGGCCATGGACATTTCCTGATCTATCAACCAGGGTGGCTTTCTGCCACCTGGTGAACTCTATTAAAATTAACACATTCACTAGTGTTAAATGAATACCTGCAGAATGGCCTGATGCTCAGCAATGATTCTGGCTTTCTCCATACTAACAGTCTGAAGCATGCAGCTCAGCTCTGAACACTTTTTAGTCAATCGGTCACTTAAAACCTAAAAAAACACACACAGCAATTCACTGGTTTCTCCAACAAAGAATTATTTTTACTTAGGTATCATTATTTTTAATGAATGCATAGTATCTCACTATATATGTGAACCTAATTTATTTAACCTATCCTCAATTCACATTGCATTAGTCTAAAAATACCTTCAAATATTAAAAGTCTATACTCTAAATAATTATAAATTAAAAGAAGAGATTTGTTGATTTGGTAGAGCAACTGATGCATACAGCATTTTACTGATCTATTCTTCACCACTTTGAACACTAGTTCATTAGAGCAAGACATCTGCAAATGGAATTTATAATGTCAGTACCTAGCCAATATTATAGAAATCCATGAGCATTCAGAATTATTTAGCTGGTAACACAAAATACCTAAGCTCCTTTGCCACCAACTGACAATATTCATAAAAGCAAAATATAATGATTTTACCATCACAGGATTAATCTTTCAAAATAAAACAAAAATCTTTTGAGCTACACAGATCCATCATATATGTACGTAGTTAATCATTCTCTTTTCTTTTCATAATTTGAAATTTGTATTATTGCCAAGAAGATTTATCTCAATTATCAGATATTTTTGCAAGGTAGATTTAGCAAAGAACTTATGTTTAAACAGAAAATATAAATAAAAGATTATGTGGCAAACATCACAAATGGCATGGACAGTACAGTAGTTAGAAACACACTCAGGGGCATAAAGTCGCACCAGAGATACAAGTTTTTCATCAAGGAATACCTGGGAGTGAAACAGAGGAGAACTCTTGCTCTTTGAAAAGAAATAGCTAATTTTCTTTGGAGCCAGATTACCTCAGTTCAAATTTCAACTCTGTCACCTACTATCTATGTTCCTGAACTTCTTTGTATATCTGCTTCCTTATCTTTAAAATGTGAATAACAGTTTCCATTTCATAGGGCAATTGTGAGGATTACAACTTGGTAGTAATACAAGGTGCCTGGAATTGTGCCTACAATGTGGAATGGGCTCAGTAAAAATGTTAATTACTATTAGCATAGGAAGAGTAACAGTAGTTGATGTTATTATATTTAAAAACACGTTTTTTTTTTTTTTTTGAGACGGAGTTTCGCTCGTTACCCAGGCTGGAGTGCAATGGCGCGATCTCGGCTCACCGCAACCTCCGCCTCCTGGGTTCAGGCAATTCTCCTGCCTCAGCCTCCTGAGCAGCTGGGATTACAGGCACGCGCCACCATGCCCAGCTAATTTTTTTGTATTTTTTAGTAGAGACGGGGTTTCACCATGTTGACCAGGATGGTCTCGATCTCTTGACCTCGTGATCCACCCACCTCGGCCTCCCAAAGTGCTGGGATTACAGGCTTGAGCCACCGTGCCCGGCCTACATTTTGTATTTTTAAAATTATTTTTCTTTATTATAAAGACAGCCCAGCAACACGATGATCCTAATATTGAGACAATCAAATTCTACCAAGAGAAAAGCTACTTTAAGTGATAAACAATGGTTTGGGCTCTGTGATAAGTAACTCCAGTTTGCCTGCATATCTGGTGACCCTTCTTGCTGCAGGTGCACATATATATAAAACATCAACCCAATTTGGGAATCACCATCCCAGAAATAATTACATATAAACTTTAAAATTCAGTAGACATTTGTTAGGTTCCTACTATGCTGTTTACTATAGAAGTTACAAAGAAAGTAAGACATAGCCCTTGCCATGGAACTACTCAGAAGTTCACTTTGAAGGGAGAAAGACATGTATTTAATGAGAAAATCAGAAAGCAAAGAAAGGCAAAGTATAAACTAGTGCATAATTTTAGTAGTATAGCTTGTATACTTATATAATAGGAATTTGGAGAATGAAATGAGAAACGTAGTTAATTTGATAATGTTTCAAAGATGAAATAAGTCTAATAGACATGAAAAGTTGTGTGATGGAGATGGTATGAACTTATATAATCAAGATTAATTTTGCTTCTTGGTTAATTGAACAAAATTAAATAACATCTAAAAACTAGTGAAAGCATGAAAATTTACTTGTGCTTTTTCTGATGCTTCATGAAGAGAGATTATTTCAGACCTCAAATATTCATTTTCTTTGTGTTCCTTGTTGAAAGATATCTACATGTTCTGTAAGGAAAAAATAACAACTCTCTTTTTCACATATAAGAAATATTACATGCATCCCTGTAAAAATAACGGTTTTGTATTTCAGTCAGTACCAGTTCAAGTTCCAACGACATACACTGGAACTTTATAAGTGTCTTATAAAGAATTTATAAAAATCTTGACATCTTCAACTCCTGAACTTCTCTTTATTTCTAAATTATTTAATAAAATTGTTTCTTTAAAATGATAATGAGATACCACTATACACCTATTACAATGGCCAAAATCTAGAACACTGACAACACCAACTGTTGTCAAGGATGTGGAGCAATAGGGACTCTCGTCCATTGCTGGTGGAAATGTAAAATGGTACAGCCACTTTAGAAGACAGTTTGGTGGTTTCTTACAAAAGTAAACATATTCTTACCATATGATCCAGTAATCATGCTCCTTGGGATTTACCCAAAGGAGCTGAATACCTATGCCCACACGAAAACCTGCACACAGATACTTAGCAGCTTTAATCATAATTGCCAAAACTTGGAGCAATCAAGATATCCATGAGTAAGTTAATGGATAAATTGTGGTATATCCAGACAAAGGAATATTATTCAGCACTAAAAGGAAGGAAATGAGCTTTTAGCCAGGCACAATGGCTCATGCCTGTAATCTCAGCACTTTGAGAGGCTGAGGCAGGCAGATCACCCGAGGTCAGGAGTTCCAGACCAGCTGGTCAACACAGTGAAATGCTATCTCTACTAAAAATACAAAAATTAGCCAGGAGCGGTGGAGAGCACCTGTAATCCCAACTACTCAGGAGACAGAGACAGGAAAATTGCTTGAACCCAGGAGGCGTAGGTTGTAGTAAGCTGAGATAGTGCCACTGTACTCCAGCCTGGGTGAGAGTGAGACTGTGTCTCAATAAAAAAAAAAAAGAAAAATGTGCTATCAAGCCATGAAAAGACATGGAGAAAACATAAATACTTATTACTAAGTGAAAGAAGCCACTCTGAACAGCTACAGACTGTGTGATTCCAAATATATGACATTCTGGAAAAGGCAAATTATGGAGACAGTAAAAAACATAGGTGGGTGATGAACAATGAGAACACATGGACACAGGAAGGGGAGCACTACACACTGGGGTCTATTGGGGGGAATAGGGGAGGGACAGCGTGGGGGGAGCTGGGGAGGGATAGCATGGGGAGAAATGCCAGATGTGGGTGAAGGGGAGGAAGACAGCAAATCACACTGCCACGTGTGTACCTATGCAACTATCTTGCATGTCCTGCACATGTACCCCAAAACCTAAAATGCAATAAAAAATAAATAAAAACATATCTACTATAATAGTAGATATATGTCATTATGCATTTTTTTAAATCTATAGAATGCACAACACCAAGAGTGAACCCTAATGAAAACTATAGACACTGGGTGATAATAATGTGTCAATATAGGTTCATCAATTGTAATAATGTACCACTCTGGTGGGGGATGTAAAATGGCACATCCATTTTTCAAATGGATATCCATCAAATGGCTAATGAGGAAGACTATGCATGAATGGGCCACAAAGTATACAGAAAATCTCCTTACCTTCTGTTCAATTTTGTTGTGAACTTAAGACTGCTCTTAAAAATAAAGCCTACTTTAAAAAACAATTACATCTACTTTTATGTTGAGATTTCAGTTAGAAAGAATTTGCCTAAAAGAATAACCTAAATATACCTAGTATCTTTATATCAAAGTTCTACTCCCTAAGATTAAGTATCTGTTATGTTATTATACAAACACATGTTTTCCTATTAGTAGTAAGATCTAATGACTTCAAAGGAACATATTCAAAGATCTTTTAAAGTTAAAAGTAAAGTTATTTTCGAAAACGAGGACCCGAGGGTGGAGCAGAAGAAAGCACCTTTGTTTCGTGGTTACAGAAAAAAAAAAAGCTAGTTTCTTTTGAGATAAGAGAAGTGATAACAGATGTGCATTGTAGATGAGGCTTTCCCTAAAAGGTATTTAGTAGAAAGGGGAAGGACAAAGTATAAATCTTCTTCCTACAGAGGAAGAACCACCCTTCTATTTTCCCAGGAGAAGCATCTCAAGAAAAATAAACATCATATAATACAGGATGAGATAGCATCCAAAAGAAATAGAATCAACACATCAACAGATTTAGAAATGTAATAAGACATAAAATAATGTTTATTTTTATTTTTGAGACAGAGTTTCGCTCTGTCACCAGGATGGAGTGCAGTGATGTGATCTTGGCTCACTGCAACCTCTGCTTCGTTGTTTCAAGTGATTCTCCTGCCCTAGACTCCCAAGTAGCTGGGACTACAGGTGCTCACCACCACATCCAGCTAATTTTTGTATTTTTAGTAGAGACAAGGTTTCACCATGTTAGCCAGGATGGTCTCGATCTCCTGACCTCATAATACACCCACCTCAGCCTCCCAAAGTGCTGGGATTACAGGTGTAAGCCACCGTGCCTGGCCAGTCATTTTCACTTTAAAAATTATGGCAAAATATACATAAGTCAAAATTTATCGTTCAAACCATTCTAAGTGTATAGTTTAGTGTAATTAAATACATTAACAGTTGTGCAACCACCAACACCAAAAAGTAGTTTTATTTCTTACATTTCATTAAGTTTATTTTATAACAATTAGTTTGCAATAGGCTTAAGTCTATTAAAATAAGTCTAATAAAAATAATGTCTTATTAATTTGCCAACTGACATTTTTCAAACTCTAGTAACCTTCTTAATACTATTATCCTAAATATACTACTCGTTTACATGAAACTTTTTTAAATAAAACTTTTAAGGGAATCAGAAGGATTGTGAGCCAACATGGATGAGGAAATAGGACTTAGCAAAGACAGAAAAGACCACCTCTGTACTCCACAACTTCAAAACTTACCTTATTTTCTTCAACCAATTTGGATATGAGATCATCTCTAGAAACTAAAAACAAAAATTCCACGTAACTACGATAATAGTAACTTGCTACATTGAAATCACATAGTGAGAAGCTTTAAATTTTTTATGTCTCTTTTTTATAGAGCCAAGGAGAACCCAACTATTTCTATCATATTTTTATAGATTAGAAACTGTTACGGAATTATCAAGAAACTAGTCCACAGTCAATTGCAATGGTAAATGAGGTCTCTGAAGGATGTTATGCTGAGAAGGGGTATGATCAAAAGATATGTATTAAGGATATCACTCTAACAAAGGTACAATAAAGGCAAGGAGATGAATTTAGTAGCTGTTAAAGTAACTGACATATGAGTAAATGACAATTCAATGAAGTAATGACAATGAGGACTGCCTCTCACTGGTCATGACAACAGAGATGCAGAGGAAAAACAGATATGTGGAACAGTAAAGAGAGAGCACTTTAGGAGGCTTGGTGGCTTACTGGTGGGGTAAAAGCGACAGATGAGACAAGGAGAACAACTGGCATTCAGACTTGGGCAGCAGGGTGAACAGTTCAGCTACACAGGGAATACAGAGCATGGAGCAGGTATAGAAAGAGTGAAACACTTAAGTTTTTCACGTGTTTTGACATCTGCAAGGTATCCAAATGTAGGTACTGAGCTGAGAGTAACATACTGGTCTAGAACTCAGGAGGATGACTTTGCATGGAAAAAAAGATTGGAAACCACTCAGAACATATATAGTGAAAAGAAAACCAAAGACAGAAAATTGTGGAACAGTTTGGCATTATATATCAGTAGCCAAAAAGTGTAAACTTATCTGAGAGTAACTCCCTTCACAGAAAAATTCATAGAGATCAGTTTTGTTTCACTTAAATATTCTAAAGCCAGAAATTACAAAACTCACATTTTATATAGGATATACCTTTGAAAAACTATACTTTTTGAACATATGAATCCACGACTCATCAGAATAAACTCTAATTTAAAATATATGAAGTATAAAAAAGACGAACTATATGACTTTTTTTGGAAAATTCTACTAACCAAAATAAGAATAAAAGAGAAGTGTTTGACTTGGAAGAACAATTTATTCATTTTAAGTACTATAAATATGTATATAAATGTTTATTGTTAATAAACTTGATTACATTTTTAATCAATTGAAGCAAATATTCAAAGGCATTCCTTTTATTAATGTAGTTCGAACAACTACTTGTACCTTTAAGTAATAAAATATATGTCATGTATAATTCAATATATGTCAAGTCTATAATTCAATATTATGCATCTAGTTGGCATTCAGGCAGGCTTCCTTTTCCTTGTGTCAGTTTGAAATTGTTTTAATCTTAATCTTCATTTTTAATGGTCTTACACAAACTATTTATAAAATTCAAAAATAAAGCATTAATCCAACAAGAAAGTAACATAAAAATTCAGAGGGCCAACTAATATAATAGAAAGATAACTGTTCTAGGCCCAGCTATTCCACTTGCTGTGGGTCTTTGGGTGCAGTCAGTGTGGATCCTTTTCTATCTCTACGCAACGTGTGTATCTTCTTATCTTTCTGACAAGGTTGCTGCAGTGCTCAAATGAGATAATGTGGCAGCACCATGAAATGTCCATGTATTTTTTTAGGCACACAATTACAGAAAGACAGAAAATTATTCAGGGGTATTGTCAGTGAGAACTTCACACAGTAATTTACTACTGTAAATTGGCATAAGAAAAGGGAATATTTTCTGCTAAAGGCAGTAAGTCAAAACATTGAATAGGTTACTCTTGCTCTATTATTTTTTTATCATTTCCATTTCCTTTTTGGTATTATCAGCCCCCATTACAGCCACAGAGCAGAAAAGGTGAACTGGAGAGAACACTAGGCTTGGAGTTAGGAGATCCAGGTCTAGGTCTTACTTTGTCATTTTTTTTCCTTTTGTAACTCTGGGAAATATGGATAGCTTTGAGTACTGAATGAAATGATTTATGTGAAAGCTCAATGTAAACCATGACGTATTAGTCACATGAAGCACTGCACTATAATTCTGCGACCTCTGTCATCGAGACTATCTGGAAACTCCTTTACAATAAAGTACTACCAACAGTGGTATGATAAAGGGCTGATGGGTTACAAGAAACATGACTGAACACATTGGGATCAAGTCTAGGCGGTTTCATTTCTTAGCTCTGTCACCTTTGAGAACTTATCTATAAAAAGAGGAGATTAATCTAAGCTATCTTTAAGGTACCTTACAATTTCCATGTCTACAAATATAGGTTAACCAAAATAGATTGATAACACGAAGAATGGAGAATCTGACATGATGAATTGACAGAATCAGTAAGTTATCAAGGATTCATGGCCTTACTTATTATTTTATTATCCAATATTCAATCTATTGTTTTACTTTTTTTGCCAAATATTCAATCCAGATGTCTAGAAACCAAATATTCCCAAGTCCACAAACAAGCTGGAAAAAAACTAAATAAGAACTTGTTTACAATTAAGAGGGTCAAATCTATTATTAACAACATTCCTTTCTATGTCAGTACTATAGATAGAAGAGAAATCTGCAATTTTTTACATACAGCACTGTGGGAAATACCAGTAACACTTGCCACTTTAAGAATGTGGGATCTTAAGAGTTTTTCGATGAAATCTCAAAAAAACTAACAAGAAGCCGATTTCTAGCATCTAGTTTCATACTTAGATCAGATTTGAGCTGTGAAGTAGCAGTCTCCAACTCCTTTTTTTTTCTGTTCCTGGGACAGTAGTTCTTGAGTGCTCTGTATAGAATCGCGTAGAGCAATGCAGTTTTGCTGCAAAATGTGCACCTGAAATTGTATCAGAAAAACTCCTTTTCTGTAAGATAAAGATTTCTAATAAACTACCTTATACCACATGTGTAAGGCAACATTCCAATCTTAATGTCACTGAGAAGCAACAAGAAATTAGTCTATGTTACAGTTAAAATCTCAATAAAATGCGGTCTTGGAGCAGTGCCACCCAATAGAACCTTCTGTGCACTCTCCAATGCAAACTAGCCACAAGCGGCTACTGAACACTTGAATGTGGCTAGTATGTGAAGAAACAAATATTTTATTTAACTGATTTAAATAGCCATATGTGGCTAATGGCTACCATATTAGCACTGCAAATTAGAGCAATGAAGGGTCATTTGTAAATTCCTAAAGTAGAATCTTAGTTATAATTCAGTTATTAAGGAAAACCATTTGTTAAAATAAAGATTATATCATCCAAAAAAATTATTTTAAAATATGAAAATATGAATTGACTCATATAGTTAGAATTTAAAGTATGCTAAATTATATGTAGATACTTCAAATAATAAATATGAAGGTAAAAATATAATGTTAAAATAAATGATAATTGAAAACAGCAGTGTAAACACAGTCCTGATTGTTTTACTTATTGATATCCTTTGCTTCCAGTGTTAGATCAGTTTAGCCTTTATTTTCTATCCATGTCAGACATACACAGCATGAGACCAGGGCAATGCCTTCCAAAATCAATCTCTGTAGCAGAAAGTATATAGTACAAGGCAAAGATATCTTTCCTTAGGAGCCAAGAGTTCACCTCTATAAAGCCTGAGGTAAATTAACCTCTCTGGGCTTAGCTCTCTGATTTACAAATCAAGAGCATTTAATAACGACATTAGGGTCTTTCTTATTTTTGCACTAACTTTAAAAAAAACAGTAGTAAGATTGTTAACATATTACTAACAAAAAGTAAATATTTTAACAAATCTAAAGGAAATTAGTAAAATGTTAAGTTTACAGGTAAAATATCAATTTTTGTTTGGTTTCACGTCCCAAACATACATAAGGAAAGGAATTCTTTCTACCTGTTTTCGTTCTACCTCCACTGTTGATCCCATTTCTTGTATTTTGAGGAGCATGGCTGATCCTGATTTCTCTAAAGACTCCCTAAGGTACTTCTCCTGAGCCAGTTGTCTCCTTAGCTACAAAGCAACACTGCAGTTAGGTAAGACCAGCTGAACATCATACTAGTTAAACAAACATCAAAGTTACCTGAGAAGTTTATCAGACATGCCATCTCAGCCCCCAACAGTCTTAATTCACTTATGACTACTCAGAAACATACTTTTGTTTCTCCCTGGATTACCTAGGAATACCTCCTAAGGAATGTAGATCAAAATTTATTGCTCTCATCCTCCTATAGTTTAGGTCTGTTTTCCAAATTGGAGGTTAAAACCCATTCGTAAATTGAAAGCAGCGCTTAGAAAAAGGGGGGAAAAAGAGTAGCAAAAGAATATCAGAGTGCATAGGAAGTAGTAAGGGTAAGTGCTGCTTTGTGAAATGTCTGTGCATATATGTATGTGTGTTGCAGTGTAAAATATATGTCCAACAATGGATTGTCAAAAAAAGTTTGAAAAACACTAGTAATTCTTTGTGTATTTTCTGTATTTCTATATTTTCTGGCTTTATTTTTCAATTCTAATTTTCCTGTATTTTATCTATATACTTTTTATCCTTCAGTATTATAAATATCTCTCTGAAAACTGTTTTCATTCTGTTTTGGAATTTAGAGTTCTAAACAAATAATGAAATAACCATTAAGTAGCAGACAAAACTGATACTCAAAGAATTTAGGTGCTGTAATATTGTGATATAATAAGAAATATATATTTAGTCTCTGACCCTGGTTCCTGGCACATAGCTCATAAAAACCTTGGAATCACCTCAAAAGAATGTCTTTTCTGTGCTAATGAATGATTGGCTGGGGGGTGGGGGAAGATAGGTAGCTGTGGTGGGGGCTGGTCCCCAGAAAGACCAAGGAGTGATTAGAGGATTGGGACTTCTAGCCCTCCTTTCAGCCTCTAATGATGGGAAAAGGGCTGTAAGGGAAGTTGATCATCAGTGGCCAATGATTTAATCAATCATGCCTGTGTAATGAAGCTTCCATAAAATTCAGAAGGATTGGGTTGATTGCTTCTGGATAGCTGAACACATGGAGGTGCTTGAAGTGTGATGAGCCCCAGAAAGGGCCTGCGCCCTTTCCTACATGCCTTGCCCTATGCATCTCTTTCATCTGGTTGCTGCACTGTATCCTTTGTAATGTCCTCTATAACAAATGGGTGTAAATGAAGTGTCTGAATTCTCTGAGCTGTTCTAGCAAATTACTGAAACTTGTGGAGAGGCATCATAGGAACACCGATTTTTTTGCAAGTCAATTAGAAGGACAACTTGGGGCTTGCAATTGGCGTCTAAAGTGGGGGGCAATCTTGTGAGACTGAATCCTCACCTATCTCCAGGTAGATAGTGTCAGGACTCAATTGAATTACAGGACACTCAACTGGCGTCCATGAAGATCAGAATTTCTTGGTGTGTCATTGGGTGTCAGAACTGTTGTGCTGTGAGGTATGTAAGAGTAGAAAACACTCTTTGTTTTTTTTCCCTATTTTGGAGGCACACTGACCTTATTTCTGACAATAAGTGACTATAAAAGGAATCACACAAAAAGAAAGTTATGAGTCTCTTTTATTATTAGGTAAAGAGATCCCTTCCAATTGAAATGGGAATTACAGAGAATGCTATTCCTTTTAAGAAGTGATGTGAAACTGAAAGAACTTCTATTTTAAAACCCCACTGTAGATGACATTAAGGGTACACTCTACCTGTTTTCTAAATTGTACACGTATTTTTTCCTCTATGGATAATATATTTTATATTTTTTAAAATGTTTCTTAAAAGTTAAAAAAGGTTAAAAACGTGTTTGGATAAAACTATTACAACATTGATCATTTTGGAAATGCTCTATAACTTTCTTGATCATATCCTTGATATTTGACATACGGAATTTTCCAATTTTTCACTATTCTAAATACTGCTCTCCTGAACATACTTGTGAGTAGGTCTTTCCTTACTTTTCTGATTATTTCCTTAGGACAAATTCCTATAAGAAGAATTGCTAGGTTAAAGGTATACATTTTTTTTTAATTTTTGATACATGCTGTAATTTTCCAATTATAACCTTCCTATCTGTACTATTTGAATAAATCTCATCAGTACTATGTATTAAAATTTGCTTAAATCTCTTCTGATCTAATAAATGAAAACATCTTAATATTTCTGTATTTCTTTGGTTACTATGAGATTAAATATCTACTAATATAGTTTTCAGCTCTTTCTATATTTATTTAATAAACTGTCAATACTTATCCTTTGTCCATTTTTTTGGGGTGTTTTTAGACAATTTTATGTTTTTTTGGTTTTGGGTTTTTTTTTTTTTTTTTGAAACAGGGTCACTGTGTCAGCCAGGCTGAGTGAAGTGGTACAATCATGACTCACTGCAGTCTTGCCCTCCCAGGCTCAAGTGAGCCTCCCACCTCAGCCTAATGAGTACCTGGTACTAAAGGAGTGTGCCACCATGCCCAGCTGATTTTAAAATTTTGCTATTGATCCAGGGTCTCCCTTTGTTGCCGAGGTTGGTCTCAAACTTTTGGGCTCAAGTGATCCTCCTGCCTTAATTTCCCAAAATGCTGAGATTACAGGTATGAGCCACTGTGCCTGGCAGTTTTGAGTTTTGGGGGGGGTTTTGGAGACATGATCTCTGTGGCCTAGGCTGTAGTGCAGTGGCACGCTCTCTGCAGCCTCAACCTCACAGGCTCAACTGATCCTTCCACCTCAGCCTCCTAAGTAGCTGGGACCACAGGTGTACACCACTATGCCTGGCTAATTTTTTATTTTTTTTTGGTAGAAATGGAGTTTTGCCATGTTGCTCAGGCTGTTAAGTTCTTTAAAAGGGAAATCTATTAATTTTTTGCCTAGTTGTGTTATAATGCCTTATTACAGGGGTCCCCAACTCCTGGGGCCACAGACTGGTACTGCTCTGTGGCTTGTTAGGAACCAGGCCACAGAGCAGGAGGTGAGCAGTGGGTGAACCAGCCCTACCGCCTGAGCTCTGCCTTCAGTCAGATCAGTGGCAGCATTAGATTATCATAGGACCGTGAACTCTAATGTGAACAGTGCAAGCAAGGGATCTAGGTTGCGTGCTTCTTATGAGAATCTAACCAATGCCTGATGATTTGAGGTGCAACAGTTTCATCCCAAAACCATTCCCCTCAACTCCCCAGCACCATGGAAAAACTGTCTTCCACAAAACTGGTCCCTAGTGCCAAAAAGGTTAGGGACTGCTGCTTTATTCGTTTTGCTTTTTATATGTAAAAGTATTCTTATGTGGCCAAATCTACTAAACTTTTTATAATTTCATTCTTTTTAAGCTTAGAAATTGCGTATTTACTCAATGATATGTTAAACATTAAAATCTTATGTAAGGGAGGACTCAAGATGGCGCTGTGAGAACAACCCAGGATTGGAGCTCGCGTTGAATCCGCAAACGGTGAGTCAGAGCTGCATTTCCACCACAGCAGAGCCTGCAGGAACAGGGCGAATCACACAACAGCAGGGCAGAGCCTCGGCAGCCAAACGGTGGCTAGTCTGCCTTCTAGTTGGGCAGGACACCTCATCGAACATCCAAAAATAAAGCCCAAACCCCTCAACACAGAGCATTTGAGAAAAAAAAAAAAAAAGGGTTTTTTAATGAGCTCTGTTGCAGCAGAATAAAACATAGCAGCCTAACAGCCCTGAAGGAACAACAGAGTGCACAGCTCAGCAATTAAGCCCCTATAAAGTACAAACTGTCTCCTCAAGCAGCTCCCTGACCCCTCTATATCCAAAAGACTGACATTAGGCAGGCATCATCCTGGGACAAAGATAGCAGAAAAAGAAACTGGTAGCATCCCTCGCTGTGCCACAGCTGCTAGAGGTGCACCCCAGACAAGCAGGGTCTGGAGCGGACCTCAGCAGTCGTACAGCGAAGGGGCTAGACTGGTAGAAGGAAAACCAAGCAACAGAAATACTTCATCATCAACATTCTGGGTGTCCACTCAGAGACCCAATCGAAAAGTCAGCAACTACGCAGACGACCAGCGGAAAAATCCACAAAGATGGGAAGAAACCAGCGCAAAAAGGAGGAAAACACCCGAAACCAGAACACCTCGCCTCCTAGAAAGGACCAAGACTCCTCACCAGCAAGGGAACAAAGCTGGACGGAGAATGACTGTGACGAAATGACAGAATTAGACTTCAGAAGATGGATAATGAGAAACTTTTGTGAGCTAAAAGATCATGTATTAAATCAATGCAAAGAAACTAAGAACCTTGAAAAAAGATTTGAAAAAAGATTCGAGGAAATGATAACAAGAATGGATAACTTAGAGAGGAATATGAATGAATTAAAGGAGCTGAAAAACACAATACGAGAACTTCGCGAAGCAAACACAAGTTTCAATAGCCGAATTGACCAAGCAGAAGAAAGTATATCTGAAGTCGAAGACCAACTCAATGAAATAAAACGAGAAACCAAGATCAGAGAAAAAAGCGCAAACAGGAATGAACAAAGTCTCCAAGAAATGTGGGACTATGTGAAAAGACCTAACCTACGTTTGATAGGTGTACCAGAAGGGGACGAAGAGAATGAATCCCAGCTGGAAAATACTCTTCAGGACATCATCCAGGAAAATTTCCCCCACCTAGCAAGACAGGCCAACACTCAATTGCAGGAAATACAGAGAACACCACAAAGATATTCCGCAAGAAGAGCAACCCCAAGGCACATAATCGTCAGATTCAACAGGGTTGAAATAAAGGAGAGAATACTAAGGGCAGCCGGAGAGAAAGGTCGGGTCACCCACAAAGGGAAGCCCATCAGACTCACAGCAGATCTCTCGGCAGAAACCCTACAAGCCAGAAGAGAGTGGGGGCCAATATTCAACATGCTTAAAGAAAAGAACTTTCAACCCAGAATTTCATATCCAGCCAAACTGAGCTTCAGAAGTGAAGGAAAAATAAAATCCTTTGCGAACAAGCAAGTACTCAGAGATTTTGTCACCACCAGGCCTGCTTTACAAGAGCTCCTAAAAGAGGCACTACAC